CTGATAATTCCTACATTCATTTACAGAATATTTGTTCACTTTTGTTCGAAATGACAAATTTAACTAATTTCAGTTTAATCTAAAATTAGACACATTCATTTATATTTTATATAAATTCAATTCTTATTAAATAGATCCAAAATTAACTTTTTAGTTAGGAAAAATATCAATGTATGTACGTAATGATTTTAACATGTGATTTTCCGTGTATAACATGATGTGTAACATAATATGTACTACGTTTTTATAGTACAAATAAGCGAATACATTTGCATACTTTTAGGAGTGCGACTTGTTATGATTTAATGTGTATGAAATGATTTTCAACAGTTCAATTTAAAAATTTAGTTTTATGAAAATACTTTAGCCTACAATTTATAAAAAAAAAAGTAAATAAGTAAATTATATTCAAGAATATTTTATTAAAGGTTAACCTTTTTTTAGTTTCGTAAGTCTATTTTGCTTTATATATTGTTCTTGAAATTTGTGAGAAGGAAAATAATATTAAAAATGTTAATGTCATAATATTATTATTAGAAAGATTACTAGACCGTTCTTTTCTTTTCCGTTCATGAACTTTTGAGAATGGGCCATCTTTATTGATAGAATTATTTATTATATAATTAATTAAGATATGATTTTGAAGTAAAAATTCATTTATTAAATTTACTGAATTTTGTATCTATATTTATATTTATAATATTTGCTAGCGTTCATGTTCGAAGCACTTAAGTGTTTTCTGCATTTCTTTAGATACAATTAATTTAGTTGGTATACGCCAAACTGTATTTCATTGGTATTTAGCTTAAATAATTGTAAGATTATTTACGATTTAGTTATTTTTGTTGATGCAATTTATGTATATTAAAAAAGCATCAAAAATTTTTAAGTATGACCTGAAAAGTTTATAGAGACTATCTCAATATAGTCTGAGATCTTAATACTTAACTACAACACAAAAAATAAAAACAAGCTCTACTTTTAATATTCCAACTATAATTTATAAATAACAAGGGAAAAAAAATTGGCATTGTACCCAGTGGTCTAGCAACAAATTGTGTTTTTTTAGTCATTTTATACTAGACAAGAAAAATATTACATTGTACCCACATTTATATATTACAAAAATAGGCAACTACTAAATCAATTTAAGGATTTAGTTTTTGTTTCCAAACCCTAAAATTTTATACCTGAACATGTTTTGCTATAGAAATTTAAGAAAATTTTGATTTTAATATTACACATTCGTAGTAAATTTTTTTTCCCCATAATTTCTTTATTATTTTATGAAAATCATTATCTCTTCCCTCTTCGTCTCGTTACTACTATAATAGACACTCCATTCTTATATAAATTTTGAATACTTTTCTGTTATATTTTATATTCGTTTTTTTTTGTGCTTTCTTTTATTATTCAAATTTTGAATACAAGTCACGTTTTTACCAGTCCTGGCACAATTATTCAAGAAAAAAAAAGTGGAAAAAATCAGTAAACTTGTAGTCAAAGTTAGAGCTTTAAAATAATATTAAAAGAAAATATTTTTCGGTTTTTTTTTCTCTTTCATTATTTCCTTTCAAAATAATTTCTCAAAAATAAAATAATCATCCCAGGTAGATAATAGCATTTTTTGTTTTTTAAGTGAACAATGAAAAAAAGTAAAAAGAAAAAAAATATTTTATGGAGCAAAAAGATTGAGCGATTTCTATTTAAAGTTGAATAAACATTCTATTTAAATGTTATACACTTATATAATATCTATATTTTTGGTATCTACAGAATTATATAGAAAAATTTATTGAGAAAAAAGAAAATTATTAGAAATCCAGCTACTTTTGAATAAAATTTTTAGGCTTTAAAACAAAATTTTCTATAAAAATTTTTCAGAATTCAAAATAATTTTTTTTTTTTGATTTTATATTCGAAAACAACCGAACATACTAAAATATATAGAGAAATAAATTCAATAATAGGCTGGAAATTGAAATAATCAGATAGTAGCTGAGTTTATTATAGAAGAAAAGTTCTTTAACAAAAAAAAAGAAAAAACAAAAACAGAAAATATTTTTCTTTTTTTGGTTTTCCTGCTTTTTCAAATTTTTTCAATAAGAATTTAAGTTATACTTTTGATGAGCAAAATTTTTAAAAATTTTATGAATTTTGACAATAATTTTGTAAACTTTTCTTGATTCCTTTGGAATTAATTTAGAAATGTTATACATATAACTAAGTATTGTGTACATTTTGTTATAGAAAAATTGTTTTTCTTTTGATATCATGAAATGAACATAAATACAATCATTATTGATATTGTAATTGAATTTAATATAAGGAAAATAATATAAGATGTTAAAGTACAAGAGAATCAAAGGAAACAAAAGAAAGTCCTTAAAACTTCTTCTTTTTAATGATAAAACTAATTAACCGGGATTTTCATTTTATTCGAAATAGGTTCATTAATTTATTATTATTATTGTTAAAAATTTTTTTTAAATATTTGTTTCAGATTTTTTAATATTTTTTTTTTATTTTTTAAAAGATTAAAAAATGAAATAATGATTTTTTCTGGCTAAAAGAAAACTTACCTTTAAAATTGTAAGATTTTATTCATTTAAAAGAATATTATCTTTTCCCTTGAAAAATGGAAAATAAAATTTCTAATTAAAATCTTATACTTAAATTATTTTTATTAATAAATGAAAATTATTTTATGCAATACAAAATTATTAAATACTACAAATTAAGAATACAACTAGTAGTTGTTTATCGTTATTATTAATTTCTCCTGAGAATAAATAATGGAAATTCATTCATTTAACTGCAGAACAGATGGATGACGTAATCAATGTGAATAAGCAATGTGAAGAACAATTTCGGAAATTGTGCAGTTTAATTGGTACAGCGCTTGTCTAGAAAGCAGTAGGGTACTTGTTTTTCATCACAAATGAAAAATTTTTCAAGTTTTTAGTTGAAAAATAAGTTTCCAGTTGTTGCTTGGTAATGTTCGAAGAAAGAATTACTACAGTTAAAAGAAACGTTAAAGTAATGGTCACGAGTTCGATTAAATGAGATAAGACAAATAATTGAATTTTTTGTTCACAATATATTGAAACCTTAGAGAACTTTTTGCTTTTACAAAAATTTGAAAAGTTTGTTCTTTAGGGGAGCGCAATGAGGAAAATTAAAATTTTAATAATTTCGAAACGCGATAACTTGGAAGAAGAAGGAAGTGGAAAAAAATTTTTCTTTTATTAATTTATCAGTGCCTAAAAGCTGCTTAGAGTGCTACAGCTTATCCTCTAAAAGAAAAATTATAGGTTAAATAAAACAAGAAATTTTGACCCAATACTTAATTTTAACTACCATGTTGTAATTTCAATGTTCCGCTGTGCTGTTTTTATAGCTTTCTATTGTTTTTAATTTTCGATATAGTAAATATGCAAAAAATGATCGTTGCAGGACTTCAAGTGACTATAACTTTTAGAGAGGGAGTTAAAGATTTCTTTGTATACAAAATTTCAGTTTTTTATCTTAATGTTTATTTTAATAGACGGGAAGGCGAATGGAAAGACGGACATTTAAACCCTAGATGGACATACGGTTAGATGTATACGACAGGAGGATATAGTGAAAATAATAAAGCACTTCTCTTATTTTTTGTTGATAAAGCGCTAAAAAAATTTGTAACTATTTTTACCTGAAACTTAAGAAACCCTGTATGTTTAATACAATAATGTAAAAGTACATAAAATGAGTAAAACCCTATATTTTACATAATGTAAAAAAACCCTTTTCTTTTTTCGTAAAATGTTGAAAATTTTGGCAGTTTTTACATAAGATGCAAAATTTTCGGAATTTGTATTGAAAATTGAAATATTTTTACATCACACAAAAATCGAAAAAATGTGGATATTTTTTATATAAAACGTACAAAACGCGAATGACATATTTCCTTCACGTCTATTTTGGACAAAGTTTAGTAAAAACTTGCAAATAAACATTTTGGCGTTTAAAATATAGTTTTTTTTTTTTTGAAATTCCAAACAAAATAAAAATTAATCCGTAGTTTAAAAAAAAAAAAAAACAAAAATAAAAAAAAAACGAAAGCATTTTATTTTTAGAATCGTAATTAATAGACCCATTTTTAAAATTTATTTCATTTCTCTTTAATCCTTGAGTGTGCATTTCTTATCTTTTAGTACAAATTTAATTTTTTTTTTAAAGTTTCCTAAAATAAATTTATGTCATTTTAAATAAAAAGTTTCTTTAACTGTCCAGAAAACTTACAAACAAAAAAAGCAAGCAAAATAATAAATATAAAACAAAATTTTTAAGGACATTTTACCAAAAAGAAAAAAAAATAAAGCAATAAAGGAATAACAAATTTATAAATTTTCTGTATAATTAAAAATTATTTCACTTAAATTTGGAATTTGTTTTTTTGTTTTCTTTTATTTTTTTAGGAAAGCAAAAATAAATTTTCACTTACATAATCACATGAAGGAACAATGGACACTAATATATGTACACAATTTACATTTATAGGCAAAAACACATATCTACATATCCATTGCTTTTCTAAAAGCATGTACGAAATAAAATGAAAAGAAACGGTAAAAATACAAAACAACAAAAAAAACTTATGTATACTAAAAAAAATTCTTATTTTATTTTTGATTTTCTTTTCCTTTTTTGTGCTAAAAGGATATCATTCTGAAAAAATTTCATATATATTTTAATGCAGTCCTTTTTAACTTTAATTATAATGTAAGTGCATAATTATTGTATAGACAATAATGTATATGTGTAGTGTGTGTGAATATGTTCGCTTTCATGTAGATTATCGAAAAATTTTTGTTCATGGATCCCTTTTTGTTTTTTTTTTTTTGAGATTTTATTTTTTTGTTTTTTCTTTAATTTTTATTTTGTTACCCCATCCAGTATCAGTTAAAAACTATAAATTTCATGTTTTTAACGTAATTAACACAATTTGCCAAGGGTAACTAATTACGGTAATTGCATATTGCATCTCTACTGTTTGTAACACTCTCTTTAATCTTAGTGTTATGGCACCAATGAACATCTAAATGTCTGGAAAAGTAATAAACAAAAAAATGAAGACAAAAAAAAATAGTGAAATAATGTAAAAATAAAATCTTTGAATATAAATATATAACGGTATATATTTGAATATATAATCTATATAATCACATAATATTATGTACAACGACATATTGCGATTCAATTTGTTTCTAAAAAAAAAAAAATTATAATAAATGTGAATGAATTTTAGGTTTGCCTACGTTTCCTAAATTTTGTTTTCCATTTTGAATTTTTTGCATTAATTTCACGATATAAAAGTTCAGGTGATATTTCAGGTTTAAATAGTTTAAAATACACTTCGATAAAACAAAATTATGTCTCATTCTGATGGACAATAGATGAACAGTGGTTTGGCAGTCCTAACGATTTGGTGTAAAATTTAATCTACTTAGTTTAACCTTAAGCCAAAAAATTCCCTACTTTTAAGGTTTCTGTTTTAATACTTTTGATTCATTCCTCGATTTATTCAATTGTTTCTTTCATTATCATTAAGATTAATTTCAAAATTAAAATTTTTAACAAATTATCAAATAATACTAGTAAAGTCTTTATAGTATCCGTATCTCGGTTTTCGACTAGTCATTATTTTATTAGGTAATTAAGTTGTAAATATTACATATAATCATATTATGATCTATAAAAACAAAAGTAAATTTTAAGTCAGTTATTGGATATTTTCAAAAAGAAGAAGCGAAGTTATTGAAAACAGATGGCAAACTTAATATACATATTATAATGTGCATATGAAATGAATCTTTTAAAGATAAAAATCGTCATAGCACTTCTTTTTCTCATCAAGATAATCCAAAAAAGAAAAAACAAATACCAAATTCAAAAATTCATTTTTGTGTACTACTTGTATATAACGTACATGTTATATTTAGCATTGTATTTGTATAAGAAAATATTCTAAGGATTAACAAAAATAATATAATAAATTATTATAATATAATACAAATGGAATAAAATAAAAATACATACATAAATATGCATTGTAAACACTATCTACCGTGTGTCTGTGCATGTTAAAAGCAGTCAAAATTAAAAATTTAAGGACTAACAATAATTATTTACTTTAATAGATTCGATGAGAATAACGAAAATACATAAGGTAGTGTAACGTACATAGTCTTTGTTATTATTAAATTTACATAATGGGCTCATAATGGGAACCGGCATTGTATAAGGAAAGTAAACGTAAGGTAAGTGACTACTTCGATCATATTTGATTCACAAAATGTCAAGTATCAACAATATAAAATTTACTTGGAATAAATAATAACAAATAATTCTTGTGGAAGACAAACTATCAATGGCAGATATTCTGTCAATATTATCAATTAACCTTTATGATTTTATTAATGTTCGAGCAAATTTGCCAGTATTTAATACCAATTCGTAACTGTTAAGTAGAAATTTTAAGAAATTCAAATATTTCTGTCTTTCACTGTACATATTAACATTAGCAAAGTATATTTAGTATACTTGGAGATGGGGTAGGTTTTAAAATATATATATAAATGTTTGTATGCATATAATGTGTTCTTTAATGTTAAAAAATTTCATTTTATTAGTTGTATGTTTTTTTGTTGATTTCGCCCCAAAAATACATGAAGGCAAAAATTTACTTTGGCAAATGTTCAACCAACCACTTAAACAAAAAAGAAAATTTTTTTTTTATTTATTTTTTTTTCGACGAAAAATGGAAAATTTACCCAAAAAAAAATTTTTTTGGATATTATATCATTATGGAGAAAATCGTTTAAAGTACACAAACACCATAAAATGTATTGGTTCTACATATATACATACGTAATATGTGATATTATAATATTAAAATAAAATATTGGACCATAACAACTATTTAATGTAAATTACATACAAACACACACCAAATAAAAATTATTATTTAAAATATATAAAGGAAAAAATTAAAAAATTATAACAAAACAAATTAAAATAAATTTTAAGCCAATTTTAAATTTATTGTAGTTTTACAGTTGTTGGCTCAAGTACTCTTCTATAATATTTCATTTAATTTACCTGTAAAATGGTTCCATAATTTCTCACTTCTCACACCAATTTTTAATGGGTAAGCGTGTATGTACGTAATATGAAGAATTTTAAATACTCGTAATTATTATAAAATAAAATATAACAAAAAAAATAAAAAATATAAGTTATAACGAATGGCTTCAAGGTAAACTAAATGAAAAAAAATTTTTAGTCGAAAAAACGAAAAAAACATAAAAACACAAAAATAAATTAAATTTAATGATTAAAATCATAGAATGACTTAATATTCGCTACTTAATTAAAATGATATCATATTTTATTGTATAATAATCTCATGTAAAATCACGAATTTAGTTTATATGTTTTGGAAATAGCATTAATTTTAATTCATGCACATAATTACCCCTAAGCAAAGAATTTCTTTTCAAGAAAAAGGAGTGTTTACCGTACTTATATATAAACAAAAAGAATTCGTGAATTTTACCAGCAATGTATGACTTGCATGAAAAGTCAAATATGATTATTTGCGAAAGTATGACTATTATGCATGCAAAGTCAAATTATGAATAGTTTATGAATTGAACGGTTTGCTAAATAGAAATTTTGTTATTCAGAAGTTTAAACTAGATTAGACATTTATCTTAATTAATTTAGAACAACACACTTTATCTCGTGTACAAACTAATATTTATACCCGTATACGAACGTATGTTCGAAGGATATAATGGTGTGAGAAGTAGACCCAAGTGTATGTTTTTGATCAGCGTCGAATTCTAAGTTGATTTAGCTTTGTTTGTCCGTCCGCCCGTCAGTTCGTTCCAATGATAAATCAAAACTATTTGAGCCAAGTTCACCAAATTTTCACAAATGATTTATTGTCGTAAGTGCCAGAACCCTATTTAAATTGGACACGATCGGGTTACTGGTTCAGGTAGCTGACATAAAATTTCAAAATTTATTAGGCTATATCTCAGAAACTTAAAAGCTGAGTATTGAACTTTTGCACAAGCGAATATATTAGTACTGCAAATGTGTTTGATAAAAATCGTTGAAATTGCTTGGCTCTTTCTGGTACCTGCCATATTACTTCAACAGTAGCTTGGCTATATTTAAGAAAATATTTAAAACATAGTACTGAAACTTTACATTAATTAATATGGTAATATGGCACCATAAAGCTATAGTCTGTTCCATATTCAGCTATAACATACTTATTTTTCTATGAAATCCATTTTTCTTTTAAAATTTGTGAGTTTAGTTCGTTTGTCCCACATTACTTAAAAAAAACAATTTATTGTTTACTTGGAACACTACAAAGTCGGGGAAATTTCATAAAATTGAAAAGAAAACGATGAATACAAATTACCAGTACAACCGCTGTGTATTTGAGTCAAAATACTGAAATCTTCAACACGCATCTTTAACAGATCATCAGCAACAGATAGGGAATTTACTATCAAGTCCGGACGGTGATTTCCGATCTTAAAATAAGAATATCAACTACTCAGCAGTAAGGTATCAAGAAAGGAGAATTCGAATAAGATTTTTTTAAGGCTCTGGATCGAAAAGTTTTAAATCTACTCATGAACTCATTCTTATTCCTACAAAAGAACATCTTATAATAAAAAGATTATAATTTTTATTTTTGCTTTAAATTCCACTTACATGATGAAGCATAAAATAAATTTTCTCTTTTTTTCAAATTTTAAACTTAAAAGTCCGTAAATTTATTAAATTTTTATGTAAAATAAATTTGTCTTTTCTTTCTAGTCGTAAAGTAAATCAATAAGTGAATAACTATCTTACCTCTGCACATTATCGTTTTTATATAATTTTTATGACTTGTAAAAATTCTATCATAACTATAGTGAAGATATAAAAATGCTATTAACAAGATTTTTACTCATAAACTATTTTCCGTAGATAATTTATATAAGATTTTCTCAAAAGTGTATTGATTTTAAATAATAGATACATATATGCGACGTTAAGAATCAAAATGAATTTAAAATTGAAAATTAATCTCACGTTTACCTTAAATGCTCATAATATTTGATATTGATCGTAAAAAAGTTTTCTATAAATGTTGTTCAGTTTTCTCATAGTTACTTTTTCCTATAATAGAAATTAATAAAATTAAAATTGAAATAACTTTGATATTATTTCATGCAATAAGTTCTTTTAAACAAATTTGTTAAATTTTAATATCAATTTCGATATGGAATTGAAATATCTTCGAATATTATAGAAACTCTAAATTATTAATTGTAAAAAATGTAATATTAGCAGTAAAACAAGTATACAATTAAATAATTTGAGCAAAAGTTAAGAAATAAATTCAAAACAATTACCAAATATAAAAATATTGTTCTTCATTTTCCAATTTTTTTTCTTTAAAGCAAAGTAAAGGCGTTATTATAAATGTAGATCAAAAAGTTTATTCTTAAAATATTCCAGTTTTACATTTGGCTTAAGTAGGCATAAAATCTTAACCCACTAATTTCAACATCTTTGTTCTAGTTCTTGCAATGTTTATGTCAAATTTTATTAAGAATTCTAAATTAAAATTTCAAAATTATATTCTTCTTTTGGTAAACTTTATCTTACAACATTTTCCTTAACACAATGCACAGTTTCTTTGTTTTAAAATATTAAAATAATCGCGTAAATCATAAAAAATTTTGACAGATTTTTTTAAGTCTTGAGTCAATCGATTTCAAAATTCATAAAAATTACATACTCAGTTAGGTACTTTTACTACTTTAAGTTGGTTTATTTGAATTCTTACATAAAATAGTTGAGAATTAAATTGAATAAGTAATAAAAAACGTTTTTTTTTAAATAACTTTCAGTTCAACTTTCTTCTTAGTACAATTTAAGCTATTATACATTTGGAACTTGAATTTAACCTAAATTCTTACTCAATAACCTGTTACTTAAAACAATATTATTTTCTACATTTTTCAACTATTACGAATTTAAAAAGAAAAAAAAACTATTTTAAAAGTTTAATACTATCTCTTATATAGAAATTGTTTTATTTTTTTGTTTGTTTTATTCTCTAAGATTCAATTGACCTAAATCATTGTAATTAGAACAGATTTACAATGTTGACTATCATAATTCACTTTCGAGAGAAAACAAGTACCTCTACATACTTTTGTTTTTGTTTGTAAAATTTTCTCTTTGCCTTCAAACCCTATATTCATCTATGTATGTACGTACATCTTACATCATCGTTACACTTTATATCCTTCTTAAAATTCAGCGTTGAGTAATGAAATTTTATGTTTTAAGAAAGTTTTATTTCATAGATACATACCTAAATGACTCTACGAGTATATAGTAAATGTAGTAAAGATAGTAATGAAATAAAAGGTGATTCATTTTCTTTAATCTTACTTTCTTAAATTAGCTGAGGAATATCATTTTATTACTAATGAGATTTATACCTTTATAAAATGGGTAGTTATTAATGTTTAGATTAATTAATTTATTTTGTAATTAAAACTATTTTCTATAGACGCCTTCTTTCTTATTGAATTCTTAGCTTAAAAGAAAATTAACACTACTTATGAAGCATTTCTGGTTATGGATTTAAATTTCCTGTACAAAAAAACTGTCTCTAATGGCAATTTTAATTTTAGGATATTAAGGAATAACACTTTATATTTAACATTCTAAATAACAAGGTAACAACTGCAGTTTCCAAAGGAAATTTTCATATAATTGCCCATTTTGAGTAACCTTTTGCAACATAATTTTTTTTTTAAAATGTAGTCATTATACCCGTACGAACGTATGTTCGAAGGGTATACTAAATTTGCCTTACCGTTTGTAACGCTAAGAAATAACGGTGTTAGATATAGACTCAAGTGTATGTTTTTGATCAGCGTCGAATTCTGAGTTGATTTAGCTTTGTCTGTCCGTCCGTCCGTCCGTCCGTCCCAACGATAACTCAAAAACTAATAGAGCTAAGTTCACCAAATTTTCACAAATGATTTATTGTAGTAAGTGCCAGAACCCTATTTAAATTGGACATGATCGGGGTACCGGTTCGGGTAGCTGCCATACAACTTCAAAATTTATTTGGCTATATCTCAGAAACTATAAAAGTTGTGGTATTGAAATTTCACACAAACGAATATATTAGTAGGGCCGATGTGCTTGATAAAATTCGCTAAAATTCCTTGGCTCTTTCTGGTAGCTGCCATACAACTTCAATAGTAGTTTGGCACAACCAGTATTTTGAAAAACACATAGTACTGGAATTTTGCATAAATTAATATGGTAATACGGCAACTTAAAGTCATAGTCTGCCCTATAACGTTAAGGCACGTTAATTATTCGCACATAGGATAACAAATTCGTACGGGTATCACAGAGTTGACAAGGTCAACTCTATTTTTTTTCTCGTTTTTTATCTCTTTTTATCTTTAGAATTTTTTTTTTGATCTATTTCATTTAACGATAATGCCTTTAATATAACATAAGAATAAAATATATCTGTAATGTAGAGAAACGTGATTGTTTAATATGAGTTACTTATGCTGTATTTATAAAAATAATAAAAAAAATGAAGTGCTCAGCTCACAAACACAATTTTTTTTTTAATATTATGTACTTATGTATGTATATTGTACATAAAAAAATTTATTTGAAAGATTGAAATTTAATTTGTGTATGTGTGTGTTAATATTTTCATCATGGGCTCTAAAATTCATTTACAAATATATTTGTAGTAAAATACTTGCACAACTTTCATATCTAAATCATATAACAAGAAAGTGTTATATAAATTTCTTGATTCAATGACAGTAAAATAAGTAGAAATCTTGAAATGATTTTTAACAAAATAATAGGTTAAAATAAATTTAATTCATTATTGAAACCAGATTGCTTTAATAGTAAATCTACAAAGTTGAAGGATAATAGTTCAAAATTCTGAATTTGCACGTCTATAAGGGTGAACTATTATAAATATTGCTTACATACGGTATAATAATATGAGGGCGAAATATTTAGTTTTAAGAATTGGTTAAGCAGAGAAACTTTCAAGAATTTAGAGTTAAATTAAGAACTTAAATTAATTGATCTATTTTCATTATTTTTTTCTGTCTAAGCAAACTTTTCCTCAAATTTTATTTATTTTTTAAAATTTACAATGTTAGTAAATTTACAACAAAAATTTACATTGTCAGTAAAGACGCTGTCAGTAAATGTGGAATGTTTGGAAATTAAAATATTTAATTGAATCAGAAAAACCAGAGTTGGAACCAATTGAGAAAATATCGAAATCATAATTCAAAGAATTGAAAGGAGAATCCTCGTGAAAAGTCTACTTTTTCCGAAATTTCGGCTAACTGTCTTTGGCAATTCTTAAAAAGATTTTTGAATTAAAAAATTGTGTACTCTTTTGCATAAAAAAAAAAGTTTCTATAAAAAACGCAAGATATGTGAAATGAAGTCACTTTTTTCAACTACTCTAGTTATTAAGAAAAACATAAAGATTTTATGCTATTCTTTAAAACAAAAATTATTCAAGATTTTAATTTTCTTAAGGGTTTATTTAAGAATAAGAAGAAGAACGATTAAAATTTTAATACTTTTTATTGTCTATTAAAGAAACCTTTCTTAAGAATTTATTTTTATACGCACACAAACACACACTAAACTTAGCATTAAATTTAGAACCATAAGACGACTTTTCTTTTAAAAAATGTATATGTGAAGTTAAGTTATCAAGGATTCACTTTAACCCTTTCTGAAATAAACGGAAAACTTTTTCAACAAGTTAAATTTTTTAGTTAAACTGTAAAATATAATTTTCATGCACTAAAATATTTCAAAAAAAATTCTTTAACTAAAAATAATAATATTTTCGCACTAAAAGGTTAACAAAATACTAATTTTCTTCTTAGACTTCAACTAACGTATGCGTAACTCAAGAATCAGAAAACAAAATAAAAAAATAAAATATAATATTTTTTGTTTTACTAAATGTTTTTGAGAAACTAAAATTAAATTCAAGTAAAAAATTCTTAGTTAAATTTTCTCTAGAGACATTTTATGGTTTGAGTATTTTAAAATCTTTTTATTACTTGGAAATTATTTTGAAGTGATAAAATGTTATGTACCCACATCTCTATTTATAAGGTATATTCATACACACTTATAAAATATATATAATATTATATACATACATAAATTATCTTATGATTTAGTTTTAAGATGGAGAAATAAGAAGGAAAAGACTTAAGAATAGTTTTGTGTTTTTCTTATTTTTATGTAAAAATTTAAAATTTACATGAAAATACAATTTTAGGCCCTCTGGTAATTTGACCTTATATTATTGTAGTAAAAGAAAATGAAAATAAAAAGTAGAAAAAGGAGATTCTAAACAAAACATCACCATAACACCATTTATAAAATCTTTTTTCTTTCCTTCCTTAAAACTATCTCAAAAAGTATGTAATAAACA